ACTTAGGCCGAGTGTTTAATCCTGTAATGTGATTATCACGAAGATATCACTGGGTTCACTCTTCTTGAAACTACCCGAAGTAACAGATCACATGAAAATGCAATCCAATCGGATTCATGAATTCGGATACACCCTTTCACTTGCCATATAACCATGCACTTCGTTACACTCCGTTCCTGGTATTTGAGTGTTATCCGACAATTTATGATCATGATTGGTAGGGAGTCACTCGCTGAGTTTTTAATTTGAATATTGGAATAAACATAATTACATCGTAACGTAAGTTTCTCATGATCACATGAGTTTGTTGGATAACTGATAATTGTCCGGATAAACGCTAACCGGATTGAAACTCTACTCCAACGATCAACTTTCAATTTTATGCAAATTATTATCTTAATTAATAAGTAGATCATCCTTACCGGAATGAAATGAAATGGTGAAGTGGTATGAGCATGTGTAATGAGTAGCAGCGAATAGTAATGAACATGTGCATGAGCAGAGATCATTCTATGTAAAAAACGAAGCACAAAGGATTAAAACAAAAAAAAAAAAGAAGATAATCATGGAAACAATCATCACCAGGATACCAAAAAGGGCAATACTAATTATTCGTGCTTCGCTTGGAACAAATTTGCTATTTTTCTGTTTTACTAATTGACGGCCAGAGGATTGAGATTAAGCTTATGTTCTTGCCAACATAGCACGCAAATTTCCCATAAAAATGACAATTAGTAATGTAGGAAATAACCAATGAATATCCGAATATTATATTCACATGAAAATGATATACAACCCAACGTTGATAAAAAATCCTGTTCTTATTATAATCGATTTATCATTCCTTCTTCGTCTCTTGATATGCAACCTTTTATTAAAAAACAATATTGCAATACTAAATTTTTCTTTAGTCACCTCACAAAAAAAATTTTTTTTATAAAAACTCAAAACTTTATCATCCTTTAAAGGCTTTTAAAACTCAAAACCTAATCTTAAAAGAGTTTTATTAAGCTTATAAAATTTAACCAACAATGAATCGTCTGCTTCTCTTTACTTTTATATTCTTAACCCTTTCCTTTATTACTACATCTTCTCAAGAAGAAGTACCTTACAATCTAATCTATTCTCTTCCGCCCGAAATCAAGAAAGTTGGTGACGATAAATTGATTGTACAGGTTAAATGGGAAGGAGTAAATATAAAGGATGATGGTAATATCGTTTTCTTATTTAATGTCTTTAATTAAATAATTTCTCTAAGTTTTTTAAAAAATAGAGCCGGTTACAAAAAGGTTTAGGTGCTTTTCTAAAGCCGTGGCTGTTAAAGAACCTCATCAGAAGGTAAATCATTCGTTCTTTATAAATTCTAAAATAAACAGCTTATCTTTCAAATTAAACAAAAAAATTTTTTTCTAGAACGGTACATTTGGTGAACGTAACACTAAATTCGAACTAACCGTTAAGAAAAAAAATGTCGACGTGAAATGTCAGTATGGAGTATTAGATAGTGTCATTTTCAAGAATACCATTACTTTTCGAACGTAATTACTGGATTGACAACGTTGATACTTTGTAGCAGTATATAATCAATTCATAATATAATTATGTAGTGCAACTAATTTAATTTTATTCATAATTTTTATAAAATGTAATTACGATTATGTGTGTTGTTTTGCCGCTTTTTAATAAATAATAATTTAAATGGTGCTGATAAATTAGTGATTTCATACTTATGTATTAATTGAATGAAATAAAATAAAGCATTGCTTGTTAGAATTATTCATGAACCGAATGGTTTATTTCAAATATCTCTGTTTTCTTTTTTGCTTTCCTTCTAATTTGAATTGATTGCTAACGTAAATGAAATAAAAATGGCAATAAGGCCGTTTGAAGTTAATTTTTCGGTTAACATCACTTTTCAGGACTCTCGGAAGGGGGGGGGGGGGGGGGGGGGCAAAGGAAAGGCAGCACAAAAAAGAAAAAAAATCTTTTAATGTAGAGGAGGGGTATAAACAGATTGAATTATTATCA